ACCCCGGTTTTTCCCCCAAAAGGTGGGGGGGGGGGGGGGGGGGGGGGGTGTACTCATAGTCGTGCATGCCGTAGTCGTTTGACCATTGACCTCGCATCCCTACAAAGCCGGGACGGAGCACGCCGGGTTCTCACCGGACCAGGCTCTCACATCACCAAGCGCAAAGCGCCGTGAGGTATTTGCCAAACCCCGATGGCAAACACCGAGAGGGGTGGGGGGGGAAGTGTGGGGTGGGGGGGCACAGATTCAGAGCACGAGCAAAGACTATATATTTTTTTGCGCATGGGAAAGGATACGTTAGGCCGTTGGTGAACACCCGCGTGGTGGCTAGGTTTTTGTTTGCTGATGGGTGTACCGGTTTTGAAATGCTATATAACGGTCTGCCAAGGCAGGCGGCCTAACGAACAGAGGAACGGAATGGTTCCGTGTGTTTTGTTTCCCGTTGGTCCCGCTACCAAACGGGACACTGTCGATCGAGTCTCCGTACACTTCGGAAAAGGGCTGCGGCTACGTGCCTTTGCTAGAGAAGTACCAGCACTTTAGGCGGACGTGAAAAAGGCTGTACATCTACTTGACAACATGCCCTTCTTGTTGAATTCAAACGCAAACATGCCGGAGGGGGGGAGTTGTATTGGTTGACATGGTGATGTTTGTGGAACCCGCTTCCGGTCAGCAGCCTTCGCAGTTTTTTTCGATTAAGTAATAGCGTTGGATATAGCATGCAATCGGGGAAGTTGGGTTAAGGATACGGTCTGCGTACCCCCTCCCTGTCTCGTCAGGAACTTATTTTCTGGAGAAGGCAGTCCCCTTCCGTTGCCCCCGACGTGACATACGTTCGTAAGTGTCATCCTTCTCGCGTGTTGCAGCAAACGCTGAGGACGCTTGCGCCCCCCTTCCGTTGCCCCCGGCGTGACATACGTTCGTACGTGTCGTCTTCTCTCGTGTTGCAGCAAACGTTGCGGACGCTTGCGCCTGCCCTGGAAAGCCTGTTCGATGTGGCTCCCCTGTCTCGTGTCTTGGACATGGATGGGGGAGTTGGTGGTGTGCTGGAGGCGAATGTCATCAGCAGGGCCACGTGAGAGATCGTACTGCTGTTGCTGTTGCTGTTGCTATTGCTGTTGCTGTTGCTGTTGCTGTTGCTGCTTTTGTGGTTTGCTTCAACAACTTGAAAGTAATCTGAGTAATATGTACTTCGCTCAAAGAATTATTATTCCTATTTGTTTTTGCTTTCAGGAAGTCTCTCTCGGTTCTTTGTGTGCGAGTTCACCATGCACCTCTCAAAACGAACGCCCATTGCTCTTGTTTTCTTTGTCAGGACGATCTCTCTCTGTCTGCGAGTTCGCCTCCGCCTCCTAACGGCAGGCCTCCTCCTTCTCCGGGCGGCCGGGGGCACCGCCGAGGAAGCGGCCGCCGCCGCCGCCGCCGCAAAAGAAGGCGGCGCTGGCGCCGGCGCCGGCGGCAGGAGTTACGGCACAAGAGAGAGGCGTTCTTCGGCAACGGGAGGGGGGACGTCGGCTGGGGAAGACTTCCCGGAAGAGGCCTCGAGGCTGTCGCGGCAAGCCAGGATCAAGCTGCTGCGGCGGGCGTGCGGCACTCTAAAGGAACTCGACGTTCTTGAGGAGGACCTAAAGGCCAGGCGCGGTGGCGGCGGTAAGAGGGGGCCCGGTGCTGCTGCTTCGCTTCCGGGGGGGGCTTTAGAGGCGGAGGGGGATCGGACCCTCAGGGCCCACATTGTCGAGACGTGCGTGTCTATCATGGACGAGATGACGATTCCGAGGGCGTACATGATGGCCGGGGGGCACGAGGAGGGGGAGGAGTGGAAGAGGGAGCGCGAGACGGCGGTGATGGTGGCCGAAGTCGAGCGCATCGTGCGAGAGGAGAAGGTGATTGGCTTCACTGGTACCTCTCCTTCTTCGTTGTTGTTGTTTTTGTGCTCGTGCTTGTGCTTGTAGTTGTTGTTGTTGTTGTGGTTGGTGCGATGATGATGAAGTTATTGTTATTGTTGTTGTTGTTGTTGTTGTTGTTGTTATTGTTGCGGATACGATTTCTCGCTTGCGGGCATTGCGTGAGAGGTTCCTCGATGCTTTTTAACTCGACAACGACAGCGGTGTTCACGCGTGAGTCCAGCAGTGCACGCAGGAGTGTCACACCCTCATATGGCACCCTTGGGTTCTTCCTCACCCTTACCTATCGCGTTGATGTTGATATGAGCTATCCCACCCTGTCTTTTCCATCCGCCCCATTCCTGGTCCTCCCTCCCCCCATTCCCCCCACGGCATTTCTGTTAACGATCCCCCGTGCTCTCGAGGCAAGGACGCATGATCGACCGTCCAACAACTAAAATGCATCCACACCATGAGCACGCCCCCCCCCCCCCCCCCCCCTGAATGGG